AGGTAACACATTTATAACAGTTTGGGGAAGTGATGTGTACCACAGTCATTATGCCTGCAGTGTCTCTAGAGAAGAGAATTAGACTTACAAGTTGTAGAGAGAAAAGAAACCTCCAGCCTCCTGGCTTTTGGAATTGGGGAGGGCTATGAATTATATGAATAAATTAAACTTAAATAGGGGAAGTCAGAGGAAATGCTATTAACTTGCTTGTTCACTAAAGCTGGGGCAAAGGGGAAGGAGACCCAAGTTCCAGGCTTGGCTCTGCCTCTGAACTGGCTGCATGGCTTCGGGGTCTCCGTTTCCCATCTGACAGATGGGCTAATATATTTGGATCTGTTGGCATCACAGCTTTGTTGGGAGAACATAAGAGATACGGTGATAAAATGCGACTGCAATTATCCATGAAGATTATGAGAATGTTGGTCAGCTGTGCCGGGCAATCCTTTTTTCAAAAAATTGTGTGTACATTTTCTTTTATTAAGGTATAATTTACACAGAGTGAAGTGCGCAGGTCTTGAGTGTTAACGACTCTATTCCCTGGGAAGATGATAATTCTTTGACCCTCATCTCTACTTCTGTCCCCTCATTGCTTCCTCACATGGTTCCAGTGAGGTGGGCAGGCCAAGTAATGTCATTCCTATTGCATGATAACAAGCCGAGGCTCAGAGAGGTTAAGTCACCAGCTCCAGGTCACACAGCCGGTCTGCAGCAGAAGTGGATTTGAATCTGGGTCTCTTGGGTGGTCAAGCCTGCTGCTTTTGCTTTAACCCATCAACTACCGGACCTAGATGCAACAGTAGGAACATTCCTGGTTATGCTCCTTTATTCTTGCCTCCTCTGTGCAGACTCTGGGCTGGGCTAGATGCAGAGATCAATCAGCCAGACTCTTATCTGCTCATGGGTGGGACAGACAATGCACAGAAGCTCAGGGAGGCGGGAGGCTAGCCCAGGGGAGTGGGGGAGAGGAGGGCATGGAGAAGGCACTGCCACCAAGCTACATCCAAACAAGCAGGGTGGCTGAGAGCAGCAGCCTAGGGCCGTATCCTGGCAATGACGCCTCTTAGCTGTGTGGCTTTAGACAAATTATTTCACCTCTGTTCTTCAGTTCCTCATCTGGGAAATGGGGAAAAGAACAGTAGCTGCCTGACAAGGTTGTCAAGAGAATGAAATGAGACAGTTCATATAACTCTGCTCCTCTAATCGACCCTCGGAGGCAGCACTGTTAGCATCCCCAGTTTCCAGATGAGGAACTGGAGGCAGAGAGAGGTGAAGCACCCTGAAAACGGTCACGCAGGTAGTTTATAGCAAACCCAGCCAATCTGGCTCCAAGTCTGTGCTCTGAACCATCTTCTCCACTGCCTCGCATCTACCAGATACTAGTGTATGCGTTACTCCCATTATGATCTTGACAGATTCTGTTAGGCAGAGTGGGTGGGAGAAAAGGCATTCTGGGCAGACGGCCCCGTGTGTGCAAAGGGCTGGAGGAGAAATCCGGGCGTCCAGGTGCAGCTGGAGAGACGGGCTTCCGTGGACAGGCAGGGGACAGTGGAGACTGAAGAAGGGAAGTGTGTTCGGTGAGGAAATTGGGGTCGGAATTGCAGGTGAGGGAAGAATTTGGGTGTGGGCTGAGGGTGCCAGGCAGGACTGGGGCGTGAGGCCATTGGACTCAGGCTTCCCTGAGCTCGCAGTGGCAGCTTCGGGTCAGTGCAGGCTCCAGCCCCTGGAGGAGCCACCCTCCACCCACCTGAGATTTCCTGAATTCCAGCTGCAGGCAAAGGAGCCCTTGTGGTTGGAGGGGCCTCTTGAGCCCAGGCCAGGCGGCTCTCTCCCTCTCTGGGCACACACACCTCTATTCAGCCCGGGCCCCGCCCCCCCAAGGGGGCTAGGGGCAGGGGCAGGATGCCCCACGTCAGTAGGGGGCCGCCTGGCTGGGAGGCTGGGCAGCAAGGTTGATAAGACCGGGCCCCCACTGGCCCCCACAACTGTGCTGGCTGCTGCCCGTGCTGCCAGGACCATGAGGGTCATCTCTGGCACTGGCCTCGTGCTCTGCGGTTTGCTGCTGCTCCTCCTGGCCCCACGCACGCTTGGCCTCGCCCCCCAGTCCAGAGGTGAGGGGACCTATGTGAGGTGGGGGCGCTGGAAAAGTGGCCCCGGAGCAACAGCCTGGGGTCTGAGCACTGAGATGGGCAGAAGTTAAATGGGATTCAGGATGGGGAGAGGGGCAGGGAGGCAGGGTGGCCAGCAAGCTGGCCCAGGGGCAAATAGAGATGGTTACATTCATAAGGGCCAGGGCAGGAGTGACCCCCAGTCTATTTTGTCGGAGGACATGAGTGGGCCTCTCTCTGGAGCCCCAGAGCCTTCCCTGGGGTATCCCCGCCCCCAGGCTGCCCTCGGAAATCGCGCATGCTGCAGGGACTGCTGTCTCTTAGGTCACTGAGGACAGAAGCTACGCAGAGAGCTGCTGACGTCTGGAGCTGCCCCCAGGCCGAGCCAGGGCCGCACTCACGGTTCTGAGACAAACACAGCCCTATGGGGCTGAGACTTCATTCCCCTTCGCCAACCCTTCCAGCACCTCCCGGGTCGGGCTCTCGCATGCTGCACCACTCCCGGAGTTTCAGCCTTGGCCGCTGAATCCTAGAATGCTCGACTTTTCCCATACAGATGGGGAAACTGAGGCTGGAGAGGGGAGGACCTAAGACCACACAGTAAGAGAGCCCCAGAGCCTCCTGGCTCCTGATCCCCTTCTCTATGGTGTGGCTAATTCCTCCTCCCTCTCTGGGCCTCAGTTTAGCTATCTGTAGCCGTAGCTAGTGAGAACCAGGGAGTGGCTGGAAGGTCGTCTAAGGTCCCTTGAGTAACTCTGATGCCGGCGTCTAGGGCACTGTGGCTGGGAGCTGGGAGAGCCCAGCAAACCCTCCTCTTCCCGATGCTTCCTGCATCCTCGCTTGGAAGCAGCTCTGCTCGGTTTGATTGAGTGTGGGATGGAGAGGGAAGGGCCTCTGTACTGCACCTGGCTGGCTGCAGGGCCAGGCCAGTGATAACATCAAGGGGTAAGCCTTTCTTCCCCACTGGACAGATGGAAAACTGAAGCTCCTAAGGGTGCGATGCCCGGTCTGGAGCCACCGAGTGGCTGAGCTGGGATCTGAAAGCTGGTCTGCCTCACTCCGTCCCCCACGCACCTACCTGCACATGGTGCTGCATTCCAGGGTGACTGGAAAGACATCCTGCCTTGGGGGGGTGTGTGTCATGGGGGCACACCTAGTCATGCTGCCAAGGTGGCCAGTAGGAATTCCTGCCCTTTTCCCTGGCTCTTGGACACCAGCCAGCAGGCCGCTGGGCTGAGGGAAATCGTGTCCACTTTGGTGATTCGCTTTGATGCTCGGATGAAAGAGGCCATGTTGATGGGCATGGCGTTAGCCCTCAAGGCTGTGCCCGCCCGGGAGGGCCCACCCTCTGTGCCCTCCTGCCCGGTTGGGAGACACAGCTGCCCCTTGTTTATGAGCCATTCTAGACTGAAACCTGAGAAGTGGGTTTTAAAGGCCATCATTGCCTTCGCTGCCCCATGAGCACCCGCTGGGTGCCCAGGCCCATGCTGGCACCGTGTGTGCATTTTTGCTCATCCTCAAAAGATCCTGCAAGGAAGGGATTATCGGCTCATTGTACAGACGAGAAGACAGGCTCAGAGAGGTGACGTGAGTTACCAAGGCTAGGATTTGAGGCTTTCTTTACCAGGGGCTGAGCTGTGGGGCCTCTGGCCAGTTGCTTGCTGAACGCCCACCTGCTGGCAAAAGGGCCCAGCCTGCCTGGTCAGGTTCAGTCTACTCTCCTGAGGCCTCTTCGGGATCTAAGTAGCTCCTGATCCTCTGCTCCTTTGCTTCGAGTGTCTTGGCCCTGTCTCCTGACCTCATCTCCTGACCTCTGCCCTTGCCTCGGCCTTCTTCCCCCTCCTCCCCCTGGTCCCTCCCAGGGCGTCTCTGCCGGACCCGGCCCACGGACCTGGTGTTCGTTGTCGACAGCTCACGCAGCGTGCGGCCGGTGGAGTTTGAGAAGGTGAAGGTGTTCCTGAGCCAGGTCATCGAGTCGCTCAATGTGGGGCCCAATGCCACCCGGGTGGGCGTGGTCAACTATGCCAGCTCGGTGAAGCAGGAGTTCCCTCTGCGAGCCCATGGCTCCAAGGCCGCCCTGCTGCAGGCCGTGCGCCGCATCCAGCCGCTGTCCACCGGCACCATGACTGGTCTGGCCATCCAGTATGCTGTCACCAAGGCCTTCAGTGATGCCGACGGTGGTCGATCCAGGTCCCCTGACATCAGCAAGGTACGTGCCCCTCGCCCTGCTGGGATCCCCTGCCGTGTGCTGAGAACGTTGCCAGCATACACACACATTCATTCTCTCAACGCCTGCACAAGGGGCCTGTTTTACAGTTGGGAGCAAACCCAACTGAGAGACGTGGCAGAGCTGAACCCATCTCTCTCCACGCTTCTCACTCCCCGCGAGCACTCGATGATTTCGGTTTAGTTGATGTTGGCCCCCCCGGCCAGTCTGAACTCCCCGCACGCGGAGTGAGACAGTCCAGATGCCACCAGCCTCTCTGGGTTCAAGCCCTGCTCCACCATACTAGCTGTGCCACCCCGAGCAAGTTACTTCATCTCACGTGCCTCGGGTTCCTCACGTATAAAATGGGATAACGTAAAACCTTCTCGAAGGGCTCGTAGGAGGACTCAGTGAGTTCACATGCACAAAGGGCTCAGAACAGTGCCTGGTACCTAATGAGCCCCACATAAGCGTTCGCTAATTTCTTACTTAATAAGCCTCAGAGGGCGGGGGCTCAGAAAAATGAAGTGATGCTCCCCAAGTCGCACAGTCAGCGAGGGCTCCAGGTGGGATGCTTAGCGTTTTCACAGACCTTGTACCCACGGTGTCATATTTCAGGACTCGGCCCAGGGCCTGTGAAACCAGTCAGGGGTCCTCTCCCCCTAGGGGTCACAGCCCTTGTTGGCCTGAGGTCTCAGCACTTACCTGCCCAGGGCCCCAGCCCACGGGATTACTCTTTCTCATCCCATCCATACCCCGCTCAACTGGCATGTCGTAGCTGCTGACACACGACTGCTGAATGAATACAGGTCTGCTCGGAGGTGGTATCCCCACTGACGAGAAAATCGAGGCATGAGGAACTAAGCTGCTTGCTCAGCTAATAAGTGGTAGAACTGTTCACAGACAACAGCAAACAACCCCAACCATTACGGCCCTCAAAGAAATGACACGTCAAGGAGCCCGTTGGTCTTTTGTGGGGGACGCTTACAAGTTCCGACGTGAGGTTAGTGGTCGTGGCGGCTGGGAGGGTGTGGTGGCCTTGGATGATCCTCAGGAAGAGAGGTAGCGAAGGGGATGGTGGTGACTTCTGTAGTCGTCACATCTCCAGAGTTAACTGTTTCATCCCAGATCAGGCCAGTGGCCTGGGGTGGGCAAGTGAGCAGAGGGCTCCTTCATCAGCTGAGACAGAGACAGAGGGTCTGGCACCAGACATTAGGCATTCAGCCTGGAATTCACCTGTGAGAAGTCCTACAAGGTGGATCCAGAGCCCCAAAAGTGGGGTTGAAGGGAGACAGTAGGGACTCGAGGAGACAGTGGGCCTCAGGGAAATACATGAGGCGGCGAATCGTCACTGCTAGGTTTTCAGTGCCCGGAGCCCAGGCCTTTGGAGGGGAAGAGATTGTGCAAGCTCACTCCCCAGGATGACGATACTGCAAGACAGTTCCCCTTCCTGGCTTCCTACCCTCAATCACCTTACCCGAACCTCACCACGGTCCCCTTTCTCAGAAGGAGAAATAGAGGCTTGGAAGGTGAGCTGTAACGTATAGAGCTGCATTTCTAACACAAGCTTGTCTAATCCACTATAGTACAGGTCACAAGATGGGGGTTGGGGACTCAAGCCAGGGGTAGGGACCACGGAAGCAGAAGGGACCTAGGTCAGAAGCAGAGAAGCAGCCAAGGGTGCTGGATGCCAGGTCCCAGCCTCAGGCAGAGCTGTGAGGACCCAGCTTCAGGGCAGGCTCAGGAAGCGGGTGATGAGGGCCAGGGTCCCCTTCTGTCTCTTTCCAGGTTGTAGAAGAGGAGCCTTGTGAGAAGGCACCAGGCAGTCTTTTCCTCTGTGGGGAGGACATGTAGCCTCCTGGGAATGCAGGGAGAAAAAGGTGGCATCTTCCTTCCGTTTCCTGGGATGTGGGAAAGACTCCCAGGACCTGAAAAGGAAGGATCGCTGGCCTGGAGGCCCAGCCGCATCCATTAGCCTCTGATGCCCTCTGGTGGCCAAAGGGCAGAACTGCACCGTGTTGGGCACACTTGTTTGACCCTATCCTCAAAGTCCCCAGACTGAGGGGGAAGACATGGCCCTGTCCTCTGTGGTCACAGCGCTGCTTGCCTGAAGGAAGAGGCATCCAGAGGCCTTAGTCAGATGAAAGAACAAACACTTCAGCTAAGCCTTTCAATCAGAGGAAACCTGCCTCCTCTTCCCCTAGCCAGGTTCTCTTCCTTGCGGACATAACCTTGGTGAGGAATCAGATCCGCCTCCAACCAACTAGCCTCTCTGGCTCTCTGGGGCTCAGTCTCTTCTTCTGCCTACGGTCCTGGGTTTTACTGGCAGGCTAAGCGGCCCAGCCCAGCCCAGTGCGGGGAGGGGGTCCCGCTCCTCATATGTGTCCCTGTGCGTTGCAGGTGGTCATCGTGGTGACAGACGGGAGGCCCCAGGATAGCGTGCGGGACGTGTCTGCACGGGCCCGGGCCAGCGGCATCGAGCTGTTCGCCATTGGCGTGGGCCGCGTAGACAAGGCCACGTTGCGGCAGATCGCCAGCGAGCCGCAGGACGAGCACATCGACTATGTCGAGAGCTACAGCGTCATCGAGAAGCTGTCTAAGAAGTTCCAGGAGGCCTTCTGCTGTGCGCGGGGCGGGGCGGGGCAAAGCGAGAGCGGCGTCGTCGGGGCGGGGCCAGGGCGGGGCGGTGGCCCATGGCCTATATCCGGCTGGGACTGCGATAGAGCCGGCCTCTGGGGTGGACCAGGGCTGGGGGCAGGGCCTAAGTGTGTTTGGGACAAGGTTGGAGGTGGAACGTGGGTCAGATTGAGGTGGGACCGGCACCAGGGGCGGGGCCAAAACCCGAGGGCAGGTCCCCAGCCCGAGATTAAGGGAGCTGGGGAGAGGCGATGCCAAGGGTCCTGGCAAGGATCAGGGAGGGGCGGTAAAGAGAGGCCCTGGAAAGACCTGTGCGTGTTTGGATGTCGGGAGGTTTGGGTATCAAAGCCTTCCGCGATGCAGGAAGGTCTGAGGGACCCGGGCACTGGGCAGGAGAAGGTTGAGGCCACAGGAGGTGGGCCTGTGGGCAGTCTTTGGGATGTGATCAGTCAGAAGGGGCGGGGTCTCGCATAGAATGGGGCGGGGCGAGTGCAAGGACTTTTCCCCATTTGTAAAATGGATCTGAGAAGAGCATGTATCTTATAGCGAGGATTCAATGCAATAACCCATGGTATAGAGCTCGTACTGTATTTAACACGTATTTGCTGAGCATCGTCTGTGTGCTGTGTTCTTCACTGCACGTGCTGTTCTAGACGCTTGGGATACAGCAGTGAACAAAACAAATGAAAGGTCTTACCTGTGGACTTTACCTTTTTGTCAGAAAGTTTTAGTTTTATCATTTACATTTTCACCTTCTTCAGGGACGTAGTTTCTGGTGCTGTAATTCCGGCCCTGGGCTGAGGGTCTAGAGCAGTGGTGCCCAAACCTTTTTGGCCCCAGGGACTGGTGCTCCTATGAGGAGCTAATGCCTGATGATCTTGGGTGGAGCTGAGATGGTGATGCTAGCACTGGGGAGTGGCTGCAAATACAGATGAAACTTTGCTCGCTCGCCTGCCACTTACCTCCTGCTGTGTGGCCCAGTTCCTAACAGGCCATGGACCAGTACCGGTCCGTTGCTGCGAGTTGGGGACCCCTGGTCTGGGCCTGGACCCTACCCAGTTGAGGCTTCAGTTCCCCTGAATATGTGAGGGGCCATCCTGGCTGAGATGTCCAAGGCCCTGTGACTGCAAGATCCCGAGTCTCCTCTTGTCCCCACAGTGGTGTCGGACTTGTGTGCCACGGGAGACCACGACTGTGAGCAGGTGTGCATCAGCTCCCCAGGCTCCTACACCTGCGCCTGCCGCGAGGGCTTCACCTTGAACAGTGATGGCAAGACTTGCAATGGTCAGTGGGCTGGACACAGGCAACCCTGGGGGTGGAGTTGGGGAGGGAGGGCATGGGGCCCCGGCTACTCCCCAGCCCATTCAAGCCTCCCTGCTCCTAGTTTCTGGACCAATCTTCAGAGGTGGTAGATACCTTCTAGAGTTTGGTGTCTGCAGAAAGTTCTCTTCTGACTTCTGTTCCTCATTTTTTCACAGTGGGTAGTGGGCTTAGTGTGCCGGAAGGAGTCACATAGTCTTGAGTTCAAGTCTTGGTGCCACTGCTTCTGAGCTGTGTGATTTAACAGCTTTTGGAGCTTCAGTTTTCAATGCTGTAAAATGGGGCCAGGAACTTTGGCTTCATAGAGGGAGTTTTGAGGACAAAATAGGAGGATCCTTAGCACAGAGCTTGGTGTGTGGTAGGTACGCAGGCAGCGGTCGGGATGGACGACTGTCTTGAAGCTTCATCGCGCCTTCCCATTCTCCCCAGTCTGCAGAGGCGGCGGTGGAAGTTCGGCCACGGACCTGGTCTTCCTCATCGATGGATCTAAGAGTGTGCGGCCCGAGAACTTCGAGCTGGTGAAGAAGTTCATCAACCAGATCGTGGACACGCTGGATGTGTCGGACAAGCTGGCCCAGGTGGGGCTGGTGCAGTACTCGAGTTCTGTGCGCCAGGAGTTCCCGCTGGGCCGCTTCCACACCAAGAAGGACATCAAGGCAGCTGTGCGGAACATGTCCTACATGGAGAGGGGCACCATGACTGGCGCTGCCCTCAAGTACCTCATCGACAATTCCTTCACCGTGTCCAGTGGGGCGAGGCCTGGCGCCCAGAAGGTGGGCATTGTCTTCACTGACGGTCGGAGCCAGGACTACATCAACGATGCTGCCAAGAAGGCCAAGGACCTGGGTAGGTGCTCCCTCCTGGACCCCGAATGCCGCTGATGGCTAGGGGATACATGGCACAGCCCGACTGTAATCTATCTTAGGGGTCTGTTCTGATTAGTGCCCTAAACCTGGGTTCAATTCGAATGAGGAAGGATTGGTTCATCTATGTCTTTTTTTATACTGGTGACAAAACTGAGGCCCCAGAAAAGCGAGTGGCTTGTTTCGGTGGTCTTTTTGTAGGGAGGGCTTGGTACTTTTCCAGTTGAATGTTCCCAAGAACACACTGTTGGAAGGCAGCCCCGCTTTGGGACAAACCCGAGCCTTAGTTTTATTGCCTATTAAATGAGGATAATAATAACCACCAGACGATGGTTATGAGAGTTAAAGAAGATTACCAAGCTTCCAGGAAGTCAGGACAGGTCTGTCATAAGGTAGAATCTTAAAAAATATTGATTTCCTCAATGTCTTTTTTTCCCCCAGGCATTGTGCCTGCAATTCTAGCAGCTGCCACCAGGAGGTGTCTGGTGTTGATTTCCTGGGGATTCTCCAAGAGGCCCAGCCATGCATGGCTGCCTGTCCCCAAGGCCACCCTTACTTGTCTGGTTCCTCTTGGCAGGCTTTAAGATGTTTGCCGTGGGTGTGGGCAATGCCGTGGAGGACGAGCTGAGAGAAATCGCCTCGGAGCCTGTGGCAGAGCACTACTTCTACACGGCTGACTTCAAGACCATCAACCAGATTGGCAAGAAGTTGCAGAGGAAGATCTGTGTGGGTGAGTGAGGCCAGAGCTGGCCTCCATGGGAGGGGGAGGGGGGCTCTGGGAGTTGGGCAGGGAGCCATCTTGGAACTGGATGTGGGTGGAGAAAAGCAGGAGCTGGAGTAGCACCAAGAGTTGGCAGAATCAGGAGGTGGGCCAGTCTACCTCTTATGACCAGCGAGAATATTGAACAGAGTGCATTACACGAACGGCACTGTTCTCCGTGCTCTCCGAATATTAAATCTTTCAATCCTATCTGGTAAGAGTATTGTCGTCCTCATTTTACAGACAGCAAAACCAAGGCCAGAGGGGTGGAACAATTGTTAATAATTGGAGGAAGAGCCAGGATTTGAATCCTGTCATCTCCCCTGATCCTGCCGGGTGACCTTGTGAGCTGGTTCCCAGTGGTAAAGAGCATGGACTCCACAGCTAGACGTGCCTGTGCCTGCATCTTTGCTCTGACACTAACTAGCTATTGGTCACGGACATGTGGTTTCACTTCTTGGGTTCTCCATTTGTAAAATGGGAATAAGGACTTCGGTCTCAAAGGATTAGGATGAGGAGTCACCAAAATGACATAAAGGCCCCTAACAACAGTGTCCTGCAGTAGTAGGTGCTCAGCCTGGTGATGCTGTTATTGGAGCTCTTTATCAGGGTCTAGGGGGTCAGGAAGACCTAAGAGCTCTGTCTCAAGAACTCTAAATGTCTCTCTGCCCCCTCCTCAGATGTCGTAGGCCACGCACTCCTCCAGGACTCCCTAGTCCAGGCCCTGGGCAAGTGACCACCCCACCTCCTGTCCAGGCACACACTCACTATCCCCTTCTCTTTCTCTACTTTCTGTCTGCTCCAGAGGAAGACCCATGCGACTGTGAGTCTATTGTGAAATTCCAGGCCAAAGTGGAGGGGCTGCTGCAGGCCTTGACCAGGAAGCATATCCTTTCCCAGCCTCCCCTGCGGGGAAGGGGAGGGGCCAGGGGCGGGGCATGTGGGGAGAGGAGAGGGAGCCACACCCTCTGATGTGCCCGAGTCGGTCTCCTCCTTGCCTGCTTCC